TTTTTTTAATGATTACCTATATCAAAACAACTTTAAATTTGAAATGTATGATTTATATGAATAAAATAAATTTAACTATTATTTTCATAGTATATAAATTGTACAAAAAAAATTATATATAACTAATATAAAAATTTATATAAGTTATATTAATGTAATTAATTAAATCTTAATATTTTTTCTTACCTGGACCAAATTATCATATCTTAAAAATTAATCACAAAGAGAAATAATTCTATTATCTAAATCCTAATTTTTTTAATATTTAAAATGGTCCCAATAATTTAAAACCTCAAAAAACAAAATTTTGTAGAAGATAAAAATTAATCTACCATTTTTAAAAATTTTCAAAAGCTTAGGGGGAGCTGCCCCCACTTGTCCTACATTGGCTCCGTCCCTGCCATCAGCTATATAGTTTGATCGTAAAATTATGTGTTTTTAACTATAAATTTAGGATTTAATCCCTAATCTTTATAAAAAAAAATATTGAAAACATTATCATCATCCAATGTGGAAGATCAAAAGACAAAACATTATTTCAACAATCTTTAATTTTTCCCCAATCTCACTTTTTCATTAAATATATCAAGCATGATAGCCCCGATGATCCACAAGGAAAGAGCTCCCTCTACCTGGAAGATAATTAGAAAATGTTTCGACAAGGATTAGGAAAGTTATAAACAATAAAAGCACATTTCCAAAATGCACAAGTTATGAATTTGATTGCATGTTTATTTATTCCAATTTTTGAAAAAAAAAATTTCTGCAAAAGCCAAAATTAGACAAAAAAATGCAATTTTTCAAAGGCAAAACCTTAATCCTCAAACTTATTTCAAATCCTCAATTAAGTTTTTAAACTTTTATTAAAGTAAATAAACCCATAAACTTATCGATTTGAATAATTTAGCCCTATTCTTTATAACAAACTTAACATCTATTTATATCTTATTCATATAGTTGAAATTAATCCCCATCACATAGGTAATGCTTTATCATGACCTCTCTTAAAAGGCTTAAAATGTTGGTTTTGATTGTAGGCCACCAGGTATGCTTGTGTGTTTTGACGGCCTATTAAGGCGCATAAGCCTGTGTTTCAGATTTTGGTCTAATGGACCAAACACCTTGGAGTATCGGGCTTCGAGAAAGTGGCCCAAATACTGTCCTACACTATTTTATGTTGTTCCCTGGTCCATGGGTATGGAAGTTTGTAGTCCTCCAGGCCCTTAACTTCTTCACCAATGATTGTGCCCAATTCATGGGCCTCAACAAGGACCAAATCAATTATACCTAATCTAAAACATGTCACACCAGTAAAGACTAAAGAGTTCCTTGTTTGACCCTTCAAAGTAATGCCATGTCTAATGCTCCAATGCCATTGTCTCTTTCTATATAGATAATGACCTTTGTACAACACGATGATACCAACTGCAAGAAAGAGATGAAACTTGTAATTATAATAATTCCAAAATGCCTTTTTAACTTCTATAATTCTCTTTCAATTACAAAACCTTAATTTAAGGTTAAGTCGAAAAGTTTAAACCTTTATTACATTTATGGCTTACTTTGTGTTGATTTTTGCAGCATAAGAAATTGAGGGGCTTGCTTACTACACAAAATAATAAAATGTTTGGTAAAAATTTTTATTTAGCAGTTTGGAACTTATAGATAGCGGTTAAATCCAAACCGCTAGCAAATTGAAAAAGTTAATTTATGTAGGTTTTTATACTAAACTACTAGCGGATTGAAATGTTTTAATTTTATTAACAAATTTATCCATTTTAATTTTTAGAATTTTTATCACATTTTTTAATTAATATTTATCTAATAAGTTTCAGTTTTGTTTTTTTATCTTTAATAACATTAAATTATTACAATATTTTTATTTTTTGCATTAATTTATCATTAACAAAATATTATCTTAAAAAAATTTTTTAATTAGACAAAAT